GAACTGCTTTAATATTTCTGAACCAAAAGCGCTTCAAAGTCTATTTAAACTATGGGCATCCTGTCACCGACATTTTTTTCCTTCATACTTCACCAAAGGATATTTGATGCTAAAAAAATTAAATTGCCTAACAGTCTGCCACTGTTAAGCTCTGTGGAGTTTCTTGGAACACGAAAGTCCCATCTAAGGTCACTCCAGCACTCTCACAGGAGCAAGTAATTTCAGCAAGGACTACTTTTCCTTACTGAAAAAGGAAAAAAAGGCAAGGCACATAAAGCAAAACAGTACAAAGAAGGCTGAAATGGAATGATTTGCTGAGGGCCATAAAAAGACTGGAGGAAAGACTGAATATGGCGCCCAAGTCTCCCAAACCCAGGCACAAAGTACAGTGTCCTTGAATCCACTGCTTAAGAACTGACTGATAGCCATAAAAATACCCACGCCAAAGTTGGCTGAAGTTAATAACCATGTTCCAAATCACAAGGTTTGGGCACGAACACTTTACTGTCGTTGTCTTTCCTCTCCTCACGAGTTACATTAATTCCCGAGCCTGTATGATGCACACAAAGGGAAAATCCATGAGTTTGGAACCAGCTTTCTATGCAGTCCTTCCCCCGGGAATCAAGACCACATTGCAGCAACACAGCAGCAATGGCAGAAGACAGAGGAGTTCAGCCAGTGATCACACCCCTCTCGGGAGCCCGAACCCAAGAGCAGAACAAGCTTTTGAAGGGTCTGGGCCAACCCACTACTTCGACAAGTCCAACTCGTTTCCCACCTGCTCTCTCATTAACTGTTCCCCATCATTCCTTCTCCAACAGCAGATGTGGAAGAGAAAGTAAGATTAAGTTGACAAGTATATTAAATAAAACAATTAAATCGGTATTTTGCATCTTTTCTGGAGAAAGAATATAGAAATGCATTATTCCAAAAAAGTACTAGCCTATACAAAAGTTTCGGCATCCTCAAACATATTTAGGAGGAAAACCATCAGCATTAAAACAACCAAACAGGCATGCAGTCTTCCAGACACCTACATAAGAAAAGGTTGTTCCCACACCTTCATCTCTGTGAGGGGAAGAAAAAACAAACCAAACAAAAAAACCAAATGAACCTACAGCTATCTCCCAAATCCGGACACAGCACACCCATCTTTCCCTGTATGAGCAGAAAGTCGGCGGCTATGGGTTATTTTGGAAGAAAGTGGTGAAAAACTTTCAGGACTTTTATATAAAATATCTTGGTAGCCAACAGATCTCTCTTTTATAGTCAGACTCTCTCCTGACCGCAGCAATGGCAGCTATTAATTGACGAGAGATAGTCTCCACCCAAGAGAAAGTATCTCACTTATTTATGATTTATGGGGATTTATGATTCGGCTCTTACACTAAACTTAATACAGAGATCAATGGACAACTGGAAACAGACTTACAGAATCATAAGGCTAGAAGGGACCTCAAGAGGTTTTTAGTCCAATCTCCTGCCCAAAGTTGGGTCAAAACTGAATTCAGACCTGGCTGCTCACGGCTTTATGCTGTTAAGCCTTGAAAACTTCCAAGGGTGGAGACAACACAACCTGTTCCAACACCCCGCTATCCTCATCGCGATTTCCCCCCCCCACACCATATCCAAGAAAAAAGAACCTCTCGTTTCAATTTATGGCCATTGCCTTATTCTCCCACTGTGCACATCAGTACAGAGCCTGGTTCCATCTTCTTGATGACGTCTTCAGAGGTATGGGAAGGCTGCTGTTAGGTGTTCCTCACCCAAGCCATCTCTTTCCCAGGCTGAACAAGCCCAGGTCCCTCAGCCTCTCCTCACAGGAGGAGAGCTCCAGCCCCAGAACACCTTGGTGGCACTCTGCTGAACTCGCTCCAGTTGAATTGATCTTTCCTGTTCTGGAGGGCCCCAGCCTGGACACAGTATTCCAGGTG